CCGACCCTGCTATCTGGACTCTTCTTGACCTGGAGAAAGTGTGTGACCGACTACTCGAACAGTACTATGGAGAGCGCTCAGGGAAGCGGAATGCCAGAACACCTGATTTCTCTGGTGAAGACATGACGATGGGCGAAGGCAGCTATTACGCACCCCACACGGCCTAACGAAGGAGTAGGACATCACGGTTGGGTTCACAAGGTAGTCAGCTCGAGCCGTTTTTCTCCTTTTACACTAGATGTTATGGTGAGGGGGTAGGGGCCTCATGGAAGGACCATTAAAGACCATCCTCTACGCTGACGACATCGCCCTGATAGCGGAAAGCAGAGAAGAACTACAGGGCAAGGTGCACAAATGGCAGAAAGTGCTGGCAGAAAATGGGCTTCGGCTGAATGTCAGGAAGACCAAGTTCCTGAGCTCTGAAGAGGGACCAGAGCCAATCGTAGACGGCCATGGAGAAATCATCAAAGGAGTGGAGACTTCAGATACCTCGGGAGCGTTCTGACAGCCGACGGAAGTGTGGATCAGGCAGTACTGGCACGAATCAACGCGGCCTGGATGAAGTGGAGGGAGTCCACTGGGATCCTCTGCGATCGAAGGTGCTCCAGAACGCCGAAAGGAAAGGTGTATCGGGCAGTAGTGAGGCCTGCGATGTTTTATGGCAACGAGTGCTGGCCCTTGAACAAGAATCACGAAAGGTAGCTGCACTCCGCTGAGATGAGGATGCTGATGGGCCTGTGGTTGGATGCGATTGGACAGGGTCAGAAACGATGAGGTCAGAGCGGTCATGCAGACTGCTCCTGTCCAGCTGAAGGTACGAGAACAGCGTCTGCGATGGTATGGGCACGTGCTAAGAAGGCCACAGGACCACCCAATAACGGAGGCAATGGACCTCGAAGTGCAAGGCAAGCGACCGCGAGGTGCCCCAAAGAAGAGGTGGAAGGACGTAATCAAGAAGGACCTAACCAGGAAAGGCATTCAACTTCCCATGGAACTTTGAGATAAGACCCAGATATATCGATATAGCTTCAAATGCTGATTACAAACATGGAAACTAAAACTGCAACATGAGCCTGCCAAGGAATTTGTGAGCAGTCAAAGTTGGCTACATGTAAGGCATTACACTAGCCTTTGGGCTTTCAAAGTCGTCGTGGAGTAGTGGTAGTGCTCTCGGAATTTGCACTCTGACGGGAGGAGAGCTTATGACCTCCAGGTTGAATAGCGAGGGCACCACCACTGCTCCGCGGTGAATATGAAAGCCCGGAGGCTAGTGTGATGCTTAACTACCAGCCAACTTTGACTGCTCACAAATTCCTTGGCAGGTTCATTTTGCAGTTTTAGTTTTCATATTTGTAATCAGCGTTTGAAGCTCTACCGATATATCTGCGTCTCATCTCAAAGTTCCATGGGAACTTGAATGCCTCTCCTGGTAAGTGAAATCGCGGCCACAGCAGGAGATGCCCTAGACAGAGCAAAGTGGCGACGACTGATAAAAACAGCAGACCCTGCGACTGCGCGGACTAACGCTAGAGAGAAGAAGAAGAAGACGATGTGGTGAGGCGGTGGCACCCATAAAATCGCGTCAGTCCCACGCGGCCGAAAGGTGGAAAAGGGGCGTCATCGTGAATGTGTTAAATGCCTTTGCAAGATTGACAAAATACGTGGGAATGACGCATATGGGAGCAGGAACTGGTAGAGCTATACACTTGAATTTTAATTTACTGATCAAAAAGACGTTGCGGATTTCGTGATTCGTATAGCCGAACTAAAGCGCAAGAGGTGCAAGCATCGTCGATCGCTACGTCTGAATGATGTCAGAATTTTTTACACCTCCCCCCTCCTCACCTTCCAAGGGCATCTCGATACGAACCTTTCCACCTGTCACAAAATCTATGGCTAAGTACAAGGTTCTACACGAATCTTCCCCCTTGTCACAGAATCTACGAGCTCAAAGTGCAAGGATTCTATCCCTGCCTACTTGATGCATGCGGTTGAACGATAGCATCGTTTGAGGCGACAAGGATGATGCCAACTTCTTGCACTCTGAATAAATGTATAGTCAAATATTCTTCAGTATTTTCCCATTTTTGATAGCGGCACAGAATCCATTTTGAAGAGAATTGCGTCGCTTGAAACCGGAAAGCTATTGTTACAAGAAAATATACAGGGGGGGGGGGGCAAAAAAAAGTCACTACTCTCCACATTCAATACCCAATTAATCACTAACAATGAAACCAAATCGAATGAGCCTAATTGCGAATTATAGAGCACATTTAAATCTATCAAGAGGTTACATGACAGATTTCTTCACTGACGACATCAGAAGATTTTCCCACGTAAACATGGTTCACGGTACGAGCTCAACGAGGTCGTCGAGGTACCATAGACGATTACGAGGTCCCTGAAATGCTGGTCAAAAGCGGTCTTTCATATTCACAGCTAAAGTCCCTGGGAAGCTATTCACCAGTTGACCGATTGAAGAAATTATGTTGCAGCTTCAGGCCGGAACGACTAAGATGAGCATCGTTGAGCTCGACGTCGACGGCAGATGACGTCATATTCCGAAGGTCGTGAGGGCAGTGAAGGAGGGGTTGCTTCCGCTTATAGGGGGACACTTACGGAATATTCTGCCGTAAAACGAATCAACAACGGCATTCTGAGTGAAGAAAAATTTGATGATTTGCGGCATATGCAAAGTGACCCTTTTTTTGTCCCCCTGTAGATATAAAACTTGTTCGAAAACTGAATATCCAGGGATTTTAGCACTGTCTGAAGAAACTATTTGACTTCTTTCTTCACAGCGTCTCTCAAGGTTGCGTATGAAGGAGTTTATGAAGTGTTAAAAAAATGTTGGTAGTTCTTTCTAATTTCTGTTCACATTGTAAGGTCAGCGAAAGTTTCTTAACTAGTTCCCGCATTTTTTTCATCTTTCCAATTCCAGCATTCAATCGCTTCCCACAGTATTGTTAGCAAAATTACCGTACCTTTTTTTTTAATGCTATAGCAACAACCTAGCATATGTCTTGAAGTTGTATTCAACTAAGATACCAGCTGATTAGAACATCAAGACATGTACTTGGGTAGAATATTTCCAAAGTTGATCATGTCAAAAACACCCCCTTTAGTCTCTTCTGGAATAATTCTGGTCCGACTATTGACAACACCAATTTTTAAGCTTTGAATTTTCATGAACTTTATCATATTATTGCTTATTCCTTCGAAGAATCGTTCCGGTGCTCCATGGACTGCGAGTTTTCAAGGTTAGAACTGTTATAACTTCCTTTATATTCAACTTTTGCTATTCTATGCCTCACCCGAAGCTATGAGATTGCAGATTTCCAAATAGTTGAATTATTTCAAAGGTGATCGGCCAAAAGATACTCAATTTGTCGGATTTTCTTCTCCACAATTTATCGAGCTGAAAACGCGAGTTTCCAACAATCAAATCGCTACAACTGTACAACCTGAATTTTGTGGAAAATATTGAGAACCATCACGAACTAAATGTCTTTTGCTTTCTATTAGTTAGTAATACTTCCGTAGCAGTCACCGATATGCAGTCTCTTTTTACGAAATTTTCTTCTAATGTTTGCCGAACTGGTTACTCGATCCCTTAGGTATGACATAAGAACATCATCTTCCTTGTGAACATTTTTCCTCCGAGCAATCGAATGTGAAATGGTTTACCATAACTAGTTCTGCTATGAGATACGGCCATGGACTTTTTTGTGGCTAAAGAAAAAGCACTAAAACTCGTACAGCTCACGTGCGGTTGCGACAGCGAACCGTTATGATTCTAGTAAGATAATGCTGTAAGCCCAAGCCTAAATCTGTAAACTTTGTCATTTTTCAACCAGTGAGGCAGCTCATGCATTTAGATCCCTCGTGTAGGGTGTTGACCATCAGCCGTGCACCTACATACACCCATGAATATCTTCATGTACTGCGACGTTGACCCCTCCTGCTCCCCTTCCGTCAACCAATACGACTCCCCTCGTTGGACTTTGATCAACTGAGGGTTGGCTCTGTTTCAAACCCCGCCGAGACTGCAAATGAAAGTTGAATGTTTGGTGCAGCTCACAGGGATCAGCAGCACCCACCATTACATTATTGTCAGTGAGCAGAGGTGATGCGTGAGTTTTCGAAATTCATCGTCATGTCTCCTCATCTACCCATGGATGGTGCCTTTTACCCATCTAGGGTCGATTCTGGACGAGTGGCACTTTCCCGCTCAGGGTCGAAAACCTACAATAATATCTGAGACAAGGTACAACGACAAGCTGATCTGAGAAATGGACTCATCAGCTGATATTTCTTACTGCCCTACAAGCTCTGAAAGTGGCCTCCAGTCGCTCGGTAAGCGTAGGATTGATCGCCCCATTTTTCGAGGTCCCCCTCGTAATTCGGATGCGGTCCCAGTATAATTTTTTTTTATTATTTTTTTATATATAATTCGTTAGATCAAATCTAACTTGGTTGCAAGCCCCGATATATTCGACGAAAGCGTTCGAACGAGGGTCATGGATCTCGTCAGTGAACCCATTTCGGTCATCCGGATGGGGAGTGAGGGCTTATTGTCGGGTACAGTGTAGGACCTTCTGGCTGCCGTCTCTGTTCGTTTTTGTTCTATTTAGGCTTTCTCTCTCACTGTTGTTCCTTATTCAATTTACCCATTTTTCTTTCTCAATGGACCGCCGAATTTTTCGTTTGGGGAAGACATCACCCCATACAAACTTGTAAAGTTGTCTAATGGACTAGATAGATCCCATTGGAGGATCCACTTCAGTTATTCTTCAACTTCTTCAAATGCCTCGCAATACCTGAGCATTATTTTCTGCGTGTCGTGAAACCTGATCATGCCCAGGTGCAGATGTGTTCACTATTTTCTTATGACGAGAATCCATCGTGGATTGGTCAGTGACCGCTTTCGATCGTGTCGATGTGGGTCAGCATTGTTCCGTGGAAATGTGCAGGCGCAGATCCAGTTCTCTTCTTAGACAATGTCCCGAGCGGTTGCACTGCTGGTCTCATGTTGTGAGTTTGATTTGGAAATCTGAACCACTGAATGAACAGTTACTGTGAACAATCAATAGTTTCGTCTTTACAGTAGTACTTGCGCACACATTGGACGTGAAAAGCCGTGTGGAACTTAATCGGAGTAAGCAGAAAGTTAATGGACCAGTGAAGACGATCAAGGACGATTGCATGAAGGTAAAATCAAGCTCCAGGGACTTCTTGAAATTCCTTTAAAAATTATCTTCTTTAATTTCACCTTATTTGGAAAGCTCTCAACCTAGTTTCGAATTCGACAGAGCCCAAAGAATCGAGGATGAAAGGGTGACGAAATTTATTGAGTTTTCGTCTTTTTTTCTCAATAACCAGTAATCTAGCGGTATTTTTGCCATTATCTAGATACATGATTATTTTTGTGCTCGAAAAACCCTACTGATGAAATTATCACTTTGATAAACTATAAATAAATCGCAAATAACCATATTTTTTCGAGTGATATCACGATATTCGCTCCGCAATGGAAAAATCTTCTCCAATTTTCATGAATTTTGGCGAAGAGAATCCCAGAAGCCGTAGAATGCCGATCAACCGGTTCTGGCTAAAGTCCATGTGCATTTACACACTCCCCTGAATCCTAACGGAAGCCAAGTACCCGCTCTGAAATTAGCGCTTAGTAAAATACATGAATCCTGCGCCCTTCCTGTCATATGCAATGTTCATTATTTGCCTGCCACTCTTGATTTTCGGGTTACTAGATTCTTCGTATCGAAGAAATCACCGTCAAAGCATCGTCTCGATGTGCCTGAAAACTTGATGAGAAATGTTTTTTTGACTTCATTGCCTGCGGGTTTGTAATCGGAGGTAATTCAACTGTTAACACATTAACAAATGGAACAATAAAATAAAAAAGAAGTTCAACCGCAAGATAAGGTGAACGTGACATAGCAAACTGAAATCGGAGAAGAAAAATTGAGGTTCAAGCAAAATAATTTGTTTATTGAAACTTTCTCAGGAAATACATGTTGCTACATTAAGGTCGGCAACCGTTTGGGATGTGCGTGCACGGTCTGTAAGGATGTGGTTCAGTTCACGAGAGTAATGATTCTCGATCATGTCGTGAGTACAATTCTTATTAGACCCATTTTTTACACAAAATGTATGAAGTCGAATTAATGGCTACAAATATGAATGAGAATCGAAGAAATTCTCGAGGGATGCTTATAATTCAAAGAATGTGTCTCCAGTAAAGTTCCCGTAACCTGTGAGCGTTATTTCTTTCTTCTACTCAACCCCACCTGGCCCACACAGGTGTGAGACCATAGGATTACTTTTGATGATTCTGCCACACAGAGAAATGAGGACATCATAAGAACCGTGCGGTATATGCTCTGATCGAATTGTCAAAGATTGAACAAAAGGCAAGCAATAGATCAGAGTGTACCCCGTTAGACCGGGCCGGTTAACGTCACACTCGCGATAGAGCTGCTGTGATTCTTGCACACGAATCTGAGAGTTGGGCGAAGGGAACACCGATGAACAAGGCAAAAGCCACGAAACTAGTAAGGCCTCACTCTTCATTGGAAGCGTGAGAGCCTAGACGGGGAAAGACATGTTTGGACAGTTTTTTGAACATTAGCGATCTTTAGCTATCAATCCTAATCAAACACACCGCACAATCGTATTTCATACAGAAATTGGTTCTATTGCCATAGTGACAGAGCCGCCAATTAACCTCACCTACTGGCATTGCTGGACCGGTTGTGTGAACCATCATTAGCTTAGCTTTATGAAAAGGTTCTGTCGCCCCTGTCGCTCACTTAAATTCCGCGAGAATGACATTCTTCAATCTTCGTGGACTTAGTCCCTGAAAGGGCTAGCTCGCTGATCTTCATGAACTCCTCGTGGGGTCTGCCTTCACATTCCAAGGCTGCAATGAGTGTGTTAAGGGGGAGGGGGAGGGGGCTCAAAGCAAAATTTTGAGTGATAAGCAGTCCGCCGCCAAGAAATCCAAATGAAATAGATAGATACGTCTTATTAAGAGCTACGTTTTTGCTGTTTCTTTTGAGCTTACAAAAAATAAAAGTGCTACGATGAGAAGGCGATGTCGAGAAAACAGGAGAGTAGAGCAGGGTCATGCGAGGCGTTGAGGAAAATTTGGAAATACGACCCCCCCCCCCCACACCCTCCGCGGATTCCGAAGTCCATGAAACAACCCTCTTCAAAAGCCGAACTATGAAAGCGTTAAAAGCTTGTTTAATTCTCCCCCAAAACTGCTCATAAAAAGCCTGCTACCCCACCGCACACAAAAAAATTCGTTTAAGTTGTACAAAAGTGAAAAGTCAAAGAATAATCATTATTGATGAGTCCTACCAAACGAGCAAACGAGAAACAGACCAGAAAACGACAAACTAGCCACTACAAATGGCATACTATTACAAAAATATTTCTTTATTTATTTCCTCACAAGACTTACCAAAGTCTAGTACTACACAGATTGTGGTTCTCAATTTGCACGTAGCCCTTCAGTATGAAAGAAGCTTTTCAACCGCCTTCGTCAGCTGTGTGTTGACTGGACTTTTGGCGTTGACCGTGAGCAGCTTATTTACTATTGAAATTTAAACAAATATTCAAATGATTATACTTTCTTCAAATATGACGAATTTCAGTCTGAAAGTAGATTTTGAAGTTTTGTGAAGAACTTCTAACCAGTACAGAAATTTACAAAAGTTATAGAAATAACAAATTTAGGCAATTAACGCAGGAAAATCGAGATGAGTCACGAGTTTTTACACTTCCCGGAGGAATAACTTGCTTCATCTCCGTCAAATTCAAAAAGTTTATACGTCATACAAAACTAGAAGATTTTCTCTATCAAACAGTTGCTAAAGCAGCTTCATACGGTCCAGCATTTGAAAAAATGGCCACGTTGAGGATTTTCGCAAATTAAACGAGGAAAATGTGTGATGAGTGCGAGTTTTTTTTTACTCCTAAAGCCATAACTCCGTTCAAGCTAATCCAATCCGAAAAGTAAATGCGCCGTCGTAAACTAGAAGATTTGCTCTATCAAATGCTTACTGGTACTGCTCCAAACGTTCAGTATTAAAAAAACGGCTACGTTGAGGATTTTCGCACGAGTACCGCCGAAACGTACTTTTTCGCAACATTGCCACTATTTCAACGGCTGTATATCCTTTTAAGGGCGATTATATACTAAAGTAAGAGCAGCTTTGGAATCACTGCCTTTCTCTTTCTAAGAAAAGTGATTGGTCAGTAATTCTCAACTTTAAAGGGTACATGTTTATAAATTTAACCCTGAAGAGTCCGTTAACGCAGTGTTGAATGGTGTACACCTCCCTGTAAATGCGCACGGGCACTTTCAGAATTCTCCCGATTGTTCCTGAATTGAGTTTGTTTGTCCAAGGAGCCGTAGTTGGAGTGCGCGCAACCCTTTCTCGGATGCGCCGTGTACCTAACATCCCTTCAGATTCGGGGTCTTACTTAAAAGATGAAATATCTCTTGGAAAGGGTGCGAAATTCAGATTCTTTATTTTGTGTGGTGATAAAACACTGAAGTGACTAAGAATCACGAAAATTTTGTGTGGGTGAAATATCGTTTTCATTGGAAATCCTCTGGCCTGGCATCGACTCATCCTTGATATTTGTCTTCCGGCGGTGATGATCCCTTTGCATCAAAATGGCTCGATCTCTTCCACCCAGCGGGCCAATACGACCCCCCCCCCCTGCGACGTGTCGAGGATTCCTCAACGCACGCTTGACCATGGAGTAGAGGGGAGCGGGATTCTCGACGCCAATTTCAAGACGTTTCCGTGGGTGAGGGGTGGAGCCACGATGGCGGCTTAGCGGTGAAGCGTTTGTTTCAATAGCTTGGCATAATCTGTTCCAACGGTATAATGTTCTTCAAGCGTTTGTGACTTTCTAACCGCTTACGGCCTTAGCAAGCAGTATGCGTTTCGAGATGTTCAGCCTTATTCTGCCAACATGGCAGAAAGCAATGGAAATGCTTGCTTTACGTTGATGGAAATGAGTTCGATGGACAAGAAGAGGAGCTCATTCGCACAGTGCCTGCGGGTGTGCTTGAATTGCCCCTTCCCCAACTACCTTCCCCAAATGAGGTTTCCAAATTAGCTCCGCCTTTCAGCCAACTTACCCACTGCCTTTGAAATTCATAGTGATCACTGTTTCTCAATATCGAAGGCAGTTGCTTATTCATTGTGGGCTGTTCGAAAATGATTGTACTTATCCTTTCATCGTTTCAGCCAACCACAGAGCATGTACTCGATAAAGTTTGCAGAAGAATCTTCAAATCCGACGAGTCGAAAGAGCGCCTGTGCGAAGATATCGTCAAGAGCGAGCTTCCCGAAATTATTAAATATGTAAAGGAGCGAATCGATCCACGTAAAGTGTGTGTGAAATTCTGCTAATTTAGCTGTTTGCATATAACGTGTTCACAATACTAAGTCATTACCAAATATTCATTGGCTGTTCGTGCTAATTAGTGTACTTATTTGGTTCATAAAATGTTTCACTCGTTCAGCGTCGAGCTCGTTCATCCACATTCCCTCCTTCTTGAATTCCGATCCAACAATCAAAGCATCAGCACTTTGAAACCGATGCACATTAGATGCAGTTACACCGGATCCAATGAATATCGGTAACGAGCAGTGTGTCCGTACAGCTAAAATGGTAAGTTACAGTAAACGCGATCTAATTAAGCAACACCAGTAAACACGGCTATAATTTTGGCAAGAAAGTTGTGGGTGGAGTGCACTGCATGTGGAGGAAACCATTTCGAATTTACACGGTGGACTAAAAGAAAGACACCATTGCGTCTGGACAAACCCTACGAGGGGAGGGTCAACCGTCACTTTGGACCATTTTCGAAAATTTTACGACCCCTCCCCCTTTTGGCGATTCTCGATACGACCACCCCCAAAACCCTTATTATTTACTGTACACTTGGTAGTTGTGTGTGTTTGTGCACTACACTGTAATACTAGCGCGGTAGTGTCACCTTTGCATTGGCGCGCACAATCTTCTACTCGGCCTAGCGCGCATAGATCAAGGCAGACTTCTGATCTTCAAAGAGAGTGCAATACCGCAACTAAACTTTTGAAATATTCTCCGCGAGCGACGGATTTGGCAACGCGTCGGCAATAGCGGTCGCCCCTTCATAACTCCCCCCAAAGCGGGTCAATGTAATTGTGCTTCTACACCATTGGACTCGTTCTCTCTGAGGCCAGGTCTAACCACTGTGAAAACTACGTACTCGCCGTAAAAATCGAAAAAAAAAAACACGCGAAAAACGCAAATTTCGCGTTTCTTTTTTCGTTTTTTTCGTTTAAAAAACCCATAACCAGTCAAAATTGAGATTTCGAGATGCTGAAAAAGCATTGAGACTCAGCTCGTCGAGTTCTATATTAGAATATTGCTTAAACTCTTGGAGCCATTAGCTATTCAGATCGGCGCCATGCAGCGACGCTTTGGCCTCGAGAAAAAAACTGTTTTAATTGTGCGGCAGGTATAATACCCTGCGTTATGCCATCAATGATCGTTCTCAGCAGAGCATGGGTCTCGTCAGTTGCCACCCAGAATGCGGCCAGCGTATCAACCATCGTCCATTGTATTTGTGAATGCGATCAATTGCTTCTTTTCCAGATTTCATTGGCCCTATTCCCACGAGCGGCGCGTTAAATTGGCTTTAACGTAGCCCGGCCGTCAACATCTCCTCTTCCGTGTTCAAATGAAATCATAGATAAATTCCCGGCTAGACATGCTTTATCCTATCTGGTGTGAAATTTTAAACTGTTTGAAGCGAAGCTTTTATTCGAAATCTGAGGTAGGTAGTTGCCTCCTAGAAATTTCGGAAAAATTTATCGCGAATATTTTTCAATTGCTGTAGAGTACCCTGGGATGTAGGAATAAGATCACACACTTGCTTAGCAGATGACCGCTGCCTCCGTGCTGCGGCCGTAGAACATGCTCTCGTCATGCCTAGCCTATTTAAGAAACTTTCCAATGTTTTGAGCGAATGTTTTTCCCCGAAACTGAAGAGGTAGAGGGGAAATCTCTTTACTGTTGTAGAGCACGCTTTACTGAGTGTAGAAAAAAAGATGACATACTACTGCTTGAGACGAAGCGCTTCCGCCGTGCTGTGTGCTGTGAAATGCATTCCCTCGTCATGCCTTTGGTGAAGAATCAGATTTTTGTCATTTCAGCATAACTCGCAACCTGGGATGTGCCCATTGGTCCCATAAAAAATACTGACAACGGTATACAACTCACTTTCTGGAGAAATCTAGTACCTGCCACTGATCCACTTTGTGCACATTCCATTTTCGAGGGATGTTGTGAGGTAATCGATGAATGGAAGGCCGAAACATCCTTCCCTATCGTTAGAGCCAAGTTTACTTGTATGTGGAAAAATATTATATCTCGGGCTTGAGTGAGTGTTCTTCTCGTTGCCTCAAACCATCGCTCTCGTCATGCCCTGAAATAAAACCCAGATTTTTTGGTCTTACAGAGTGGCTCTTCGAGCATGTGGTGTCCACCAGATATCGATTCTCCATGCTAAATGCGTATCCAACGAATCTCATCTCCCGTTCCCACTTTAAACTTTCGTTTTCACCGTTTTCGGCCTTTTCCTAATCGCCGCATCGCCTTCTTCACCAGGAAGTTCATTCAGGCCGGTGACCGAGCGCTTTTGAAACAGGTCTATTGCATGATAATTAGAGGCAGAGCGGAACCAAGAACATGTCAATTTTGTCCTGAAGGCCCTATAAATACCAGAAAAGAGTTCCCATAGTTCGATATCTCTTGGTACAAATTTTTGCAATTTTCTAGTTACGTTCCAAAATTCGTGCAAATGGAGTTACGATTTTCTGGTTAGGTTTCTAACGCCATATTTGACTGCGAATATTAGCCACTACACTCGGAAATGCAAAATTTGTTACCACGAAGAATCGTACTAGGGACCTCCTTTTCTGTTCCGCCGGCTATTCAACGCCCGGAGGTCCTCGGTTATCCGAGTCTACACCAAGCCCGAAGGTCTTCTGGATATATCCCCGAAAATCGTATGCAACAAAGCCCGAGAATTCCGGGACATATCCCAGACTAGCGTATACACAACAAGCCCGACGCATCGTCGGGGACATATCCGCCGAATCGTATGCAACCAGCCCCGACGCATCGTCGGGGACATATCCCCGACGTCCGTAGTGCAAACAAGACCCCGACGATCGTCGGGACATAATCCCCCGAAGTCCGTATGCAGACAAGCCCCAGAACGAGCGTCGGGGAAATATCCCCGAGACCTTCGGGGCTTTGTTGCATAGGGTCGTCGGGAGGATTCGTCTGGGATGAATCCCCTAGTCTCGACTAGGGGATCATCCGACGGCCTCCGACGTACGATGTTACTGAGCTAACTCAGTGTCAGAGCCATCCATTGGAACTGTCGACGGTAAGCGTTGCGTCCAGCGACCTCGGGATAGAAACGAAGAATTTTACGTATAATCCACACCCTGCGGGGCCGTCGTCAGATGCGTACGCAAGCGCTTACATACCCACGCCTGTTCTCTGCTTGTAACTGCATATCACAGGCGGGCCTCGTGAGAAGAAATAGGCCTATCGATCATAAACTAGCAACGGCTCCCGAAATATTGTAACTGAATTGAGCCCATGCATTTCCCATCCTCTCGATCAGATGACGTAATCCGACAGCACTCCCTACATATCGTTGGAAAACCAATTGCGGCGCTTGAAAACTACTCTATTCCTTATCGTCATTTTCTTCTTAACATGCATACACGCGCGTAATCGTGCTCGTATTATACATTGTTCCCGCACTAAGAAACAATGCAAATTGATGTCAACCTATGCATTGTATATACAGTGAGGGACCGAAGACGAAGTTTACTTGGCACCCTGAGGAAGAGAGAGTCTAATTCGTCCGAGGTAGTCTTTCATAACATGCAACTGCTTAGTAAGTATGCAGTCTCACGGCCACCTTGTTTTCGAGTTGTAGTTGATTATTCGCCAATTGCAGATATTATCATCCGACATAGAAATCTGATACGGAGTATCCTTGTGAAAGGATGACTTGTTGCTCGAAATGAAACGAGCGCATACTTGTAGATTATAGCACGGGCTCTGTTCATTCTTTCTGTAAAAGATTGCCGTAATAAAATGTGATTTCAGTTCCATTCCGAGATAATCCGCTTAACAGGAGCGTTTGCGTTACGTTGCAATCAATTTCTGAGCGTATGTACTAAAAGGGCATGCCACTCTGAACTGAGCTTGGAGAGATGGTGAACTTTGAGGTAATGAAAACTGCTCTACTACATCCCTCTAGACTTCACAGCCTAAGTACTAAGGGGACCAGCCGGGGCGGAGACGTGATGACTTGGTGTTTATTCGCCCAAACCTTCGGCGTAGTGGGAATTTACATGCTTTGGTGGAAGATAATAGCCAGTCTTACGTAAGCTGTGGCAAAAGCTTAAACTATTGCGCTATAAATGTGGAAACGTTCTTTTCACGATTCCAAATCATTTTGCATCAAATGTGATGTTCAGTGTTCGCGTTCCACATGTTGCTGGTCATAGGAGATAGAATTTTTTTATATCCACTAACCACCAAATATCACTGCTGACCCGTCTCAAACATATGACAAAAACCCTGCTAGCTAGATATAAGTCATCCTAGTCTATTATTTCCTCTCATAGTTCTACCCGTAAGTACTCAATCGAAAACAGGGTGCCAACGATAGCGGAACTTAGCCGTGAGAGTAACTGTAATCGCTTGCGTACGCAATTGCACCGCCAGGGTGGATATATACGTAAAATCGTTTCATCAGCCGAGGTCGGCTGGACCGCAACGCTACCCGTCGACAGCCAACTGACTGACATTCGAGTTTAGCTCAAGTAACACCGTACGTTTGAGGCCGTCGGGATTCATCCCGACATCTCCTCCCACGACACCCTATTCGCAAAAGTCCGAAGTTCGTCGGGATATGTCCCGATCGACGTCAGGGCTGTCATTAAGTCGGGGGAACCCTATTCGCGTTGTTGCATACGACTTGGGATAATGTCCCGACGATCGCGGCCTGTGCATACGACTTCGGGATATGTCCCCGACGATGCGTCGGGCCTTGTTCATACCATCGGGATATGTCCCCGACGATACTCGGGCTTCTTGCATCACGACTTCGGGATTATCCCCGACGATCGTCGGGGTGTGGCATACGACTTCGGGATATGTCCCCGACGAAATCGTCGGGGTGTGATAACGACTTCGGGATATGTCCCCGGCGATCGTCGGGCCTTGTTGCATACGACTTTCGCGGCATATTCCCTACGAGCGTCGGCCTTTTGCATACGACTTCGGGGATATGTCCCACGTCGTCGGTTCATACGCTGATCCGAGTGCG